GCGGTGAGTGCAGGGCGGCCGCGACCGCCCGCCCGCCGTGCGCGTGCGGGCCCGGCCCGGCCCCGCGTGACGCGGAGCGGCTTCTCCTTGTGCCCCCCAGGGCCTCTCTTCAACACCGGCGCCGGGCAGCACATCCTGAAGAACCCCCTGGTCGTCAACAGCATCGTGGAGAAGGTGCGTGCGCGGCGGCGCCCCGCAGCTCGCCGCTGAGCACGCGGCACCCGGCGGCCACCCCGCTCTTAGCTCGTAGCCGCGCGTGTGTTTCAATCGGCCCTAGGAAAAACACTGAAATGCTGCTTGTTCCCAGGCCGCCTTACGACGTACGGATGTCGTTCTGGAAGTAGGCCCTGGAACTGGTAACCTCACAGTGAAAATGTTAGAGAAAGTCAAAAAGGTAAGTGTGAAATCCCCGCTCCCGCCGCTCCCCGTCCCCTTGGCGTGAGGAGAACAGCACCCTGGCCCAGAGCGTCAGCCACAGGAGGCGGTGCCGTGGCCTGAGTTAAAGAGCGGAATCACTTTTTTTCCGTAAAACTTACAGAGAATTTCTATCTGTGATCATGAAAATAACATATGGATCTGCCAAGTTGTATTGGTATTACCAGTTTACATGATAAGCCTCTATCCTTTGTGATAGAAAAAAGTGCAGACCTAACAGGACATACGTAAGAATGATCTAATTGCCCAGCAGTACTTATCTACAGTTTCTTGCAGCTGAAGTTCTGATCCCGCTAGAAGGTGTTCACACAGAAAACTGCAAATTTATGCTATGTCCTCAGGTTATAGCTTGTGAAATTGATCCCAGACTGGTGGGCGAGCTTCAGAAGAGAGTCCAGGGCACGTAAGTACCGCAGCATTGGGACACGGGGAGCGGCGGAGCTGCCTGGCGAGGCGCCGTGCGCAGGAAAACACCCCGTGTTTCCCCCACAGGTGCCTGGCAAACAAACTGGAAATCAAGGTTGGCGACGTGTTGAAAACGGACTTACCCTTCTTTGATGCGTGTGTAGCTAACCTGCCTTACCAGGTATGGACAAAGCAATCTAAGTATTTTTTTCAGCTGCTCAGAAGGCATTCTAATGATATTGTTCTTTTCCTCAGATTTCCTCACCCTTTGTTTTCAAATTGTTGCTTCACAGACCTTTCTTCAGGTATGTGGTAGATCAGATCCTTAGCCTTTCTAAGGGAGAAGATTAACTTTACCAATAAACCCAAATCTAGTGTGGGAGTTGCCAACACTTGGAAATTAGTTTATTGAAGTGTTGAGGAATTTAGTCTTGACATTACTGAGATGTCTTGCTGATGAAAATGATATTTGCACGTGTTTGTATTATTATTATAACTTATCCCATGGATAAACAGGGCATTTAGCATTTCAGATGCCTTCCTACCTTAGGAAGTAAAGGGGAAAAGTTGAAGTTCATAGTGTCTAATCACCAGGACTAGGTACTTGTATGTGTAGTTCAGGATGTGAGCAGTTCTTGATTGCTCTCACTGAACTGCTAATTTTACTAATAATACCGAGGTCTGTATGACAGAGAGTGCCTGTATGTCTGACTTTCATTGCTTTTATTTGTTGAGGGGAAATCTGTGTTTAGTTGACTTTAGCCTTAAAAGCTGAGAACATTTTGAACTGCTCCTTTCTGTCATTCTCAGGTGTGCAATACTTATGTTTCAAAGGGAATTTGCACTTCGTTTGGTTGCAAAACCAGGGACTAAACTCTACTGCAGACTCTCTATTAACACTCAGTTATTAGCTCGTGTGGACCATCTGATGAAGGTTTGTCAAAAAAAAAAAAGCTGATTTTAAGAATGCTAAAAAGTTGATTTTAAGAATGTGAGAATTTGCTGCTAACTTATATAACTGCCTGACTTCTCCTGACTAACAGGTTGGAAAGAACAACTTCAGGCCCCCTCCTAAAGTTGAATCCAGTGTTGTCAGGATAGAGCCAAAGAACCCACCACCACCTATCAACTTCCAGGTAAGCATCATATATTCACCATATAAGTAACAGGAGCAGCGGTTACTTTACTTTTCATTTCATCTCTGACTCTTTGTGGATAATGAACTTTCTCCTCCACTTCTCTTTGCACAAGACAGCACAGCCTTCCTAGTAGTTAGAAGGATATTTTTCTTAAAATATCATTTGTATTATTGCTGTGAAATTGCCTGTAGTGTTTATTCTGAATTTTTTCTTGCAGCTGTGTATTCCTTTCAGTAAATACTGTATCTTTTGAATTTTCAGGAATGGGATGGTCTAGTAAGGATAGCCTTCGTTAGGAAAAACAAGACACTCTCTGCAGCATTCAAGTAAGTAAATTCTGTTAGCAGTTTTTCAAAGTTTCAGAGTCTGTCCAGTTAACCACTTCATTTTTTTTCTTTTTTTGCAAATGTCTGGTAACAATTATTATGAATCAGTTCTGTTCATAGAGGCGTGCAATGCAGGCGCTGAAACAGTCCGAGTTAATAAAAATGGAGAATTTATGCTGATATTAGAAACTCTCCTCAAGTGAAACCTTTAGAAAAAAAACTCTTTGAGGCGTTCAGCTGCGTTTCAAAACAAAAGCTCTGTGCAGTCAATGCAATTTCTTTTTATAGTGAAGACTAACAACCACTCAGGTTAAATGAACTGGTGGTTTTGCATTTGACTAACTTGCATTTCTTTCAGATCAAGTGCTGTAGAGCAGTTGTTGGATCATAATTACCGAATTCATTGTTCCTTACATAATACAGTAAGTGCCTTTTTAATGTACTAAATTGTATTGCTGTGCAGTGTGACCTAAGCACAATATTTGTTTAAAAAAAAATGCTAAAGCTTCTCTAAAACAGAAGAAAAAATTTGTTCTTTTGTTCTTCAAAGAAAAATATATTTTTTTTTTCCTAAAATAGTGTGTGTGGGGAAATGATAGTGTTGAAATACTGTTTGGTCATACTGTTGGTAATTGTTTTGCATTGAATTAGTCGAGGTACAAAATCCAGACGCAAGTATGTATCAATTCTGAAACGGGGCTTAGGGGAGAGAGAGGAGAGCGAAAGTGCATTAAATTATCACTTGAAACAAAAATTCTTCAAGAAGCAGAAAAAAAGTAGACAAGTTAAACTATTTTTAACCTTCTTCTATGTTATGAATGAAAAGCTAACTTGTATCTTCCATTGACAGGAAATACCAGAAAATTTCAAAATTGCAGAGAAAATACAAACAGTCTTAAAGAATACAGGTTACTCTGAAAAACGTGCCCGTTCAATGGATATAGATGACTTTATTAAGTAAGTCTGTTCTCTTTATTCCTTCCTTTAAAGTTTCTTCAAGTTCTATCTGTATTTGTATCTACATGGAGCAGATTCCTACTGTGTTATGTAGGAATAGCACTAGACTTCTGAATAACACATACGTCCTTCTTCCAGTCCTGAACATGAAGGAACAGTTAAAACCTATTATATATATCACATATATATATATAATTTTTATATATGTATATATATTAACTGCTTATGAGAAGCAACTATTTTAAGATCCCAATTTTTATGACTGATGTACTAGACATATCTACATCCTCTCTAAAAATGGTTCTAATAGCAAAGTTGGTAATTAGAAATTTCCCTAGTGATTTGCACCACTCTCTACTTTCTATTTTGAGGATTTGACCTTAGTCTACAGCATAATCTGGAAGTGTTAATTACATAACTAACTGCTGAATTCTGGCTTCCTTCTGCTCAGATAATTTAATTGGCCATAGTAATCATCTTCTAATTCAGGATAAAATTCCCAGCTGTTCCTCAGTGTAACCATTAGTGGAGCTACTGTTCTTTCAGGAAATATAGTAAATTTGCTGGGCTGCAGTTGCCTTGTAACAATTCTTCATAGCAGCTGAACAACACCACTAGATTTTATGACTCTTTCCTTTCCTTATCCTATGTTCGTTACTAGAATGGCTTGGAAATTATTTTATCTGAAATATAAATTAGTAGAAACTGTACCATGATTCTTTTTTCCAGACTTCTACATGGCTTCAATTCAGAAGGCATCCATTTCTCTTAAGTTACCTCAGAAGAAAGAAAGATATTCTGTGTTTTGTCATCCACGTCTTCCTGAAGCTATAATGACTGCACTGGGACAATATATGTTCACAAAACAACAAATACAGCATGCATATTCTGGGTCCTTTTAAGAACATTACATACCATTTTATCTCAGACAACAGGAAGAAGCTGCCACTCCATATTTTACATGTATTAAATTTTTTCAAGACCAAAGTGGTGTGTTGGACTTCCATGGAACTGCAGATTTTTAAATATATCCTACTGCCATGTGGATTAAGGCTGCCATAACTGAGAGCTGTGCTGTCTTTTCATGGACTTTGTATATCCTTGCAGTATTCACAGTGTAACTCTGAATTCAGATTTGGGCAACAAAAATAGATTTTTAGCCATGTAATTTGTTTTTATGTATATTTAAACATTTTCTTCTGCTCTGAAAATTTCTTTCGCTTGTCTCTTCCATTTGTCCTACTGGGAATCCCGATCAGTTAAGATGTATTTTTCAGAAACAAGGGCATCTCTGGGGCTGGGTTTCGATTACAAAAATGTTACTGAGGTTACCTAGAACTGCCCTTCTCCACCCCGCTTCAGCCCTTCCTCGCTGCCATCAAACCACTCTAGGAGCCAGCAGTGAAGTGCCAACAACAGGGAAGTTCCACCCTGAGACAGGGGTGGAAGTTTTTAGCCTAGATCAGAAGGGTTTTTTTTTTTTTTTTYTTTTTTTTTTTTTTGGTAAGCCTTGAAGGAATGCATTCCTACATTTGATAAAAATACTTAATGAAATACTTACTGAACTATGTTAATAGATTTGGGGTTATATATTTGTTACTAGGGACATAGCAAGTTTTACTCGGGAAGACTGCATTAATTCTATATAACACCCATTTAAAAATCCACTTTATTTTGTTATGATTCAGAAAAAGACCAACTCTTGTAGCACAATGCCAGAGTGAAGGCACGGCCCTGTACTAACATGACTCATTTGTTTATATATGGCATATGTCCTTCCATAAATACAATTGTAGAAGGAGAAGAGACATGCAACTAGCAAAAAAAACTTCTCCAAAATTAATTTCATTTTTTAAGTCTTAACTAGTGATGCAGGGATATATTCATACTTCAGTCATTATTCAGCAGATGTCCTGAAACAAGGGCTTGGAAAACTGCTCATTTAATCTATAATTTCATGATTATTTTCATGCTGCTTCCCTGCATACAAGATGCATTCATGACTGGTGTTAAGTAGGTACAGAAACATACCAAGACCTGCACCGAAGGATCACGTTGGAGAGGTGTGACACACTCTTCTCACACTTTCAGACAGGAAACATCTGCTCTTTTAAGTTCAGTTCAAGCAATTCAGTCCATCATAGCAACAGGCTGCAGGATCGAGTGCCATAAAAAGTCATACTAATTTTGTATCTAAATTCTCGCTGTTTCAGGATTGGTGTTAACCTGCTCTTTACAGCACTGGCCTGCAACAAAGGCTGTTTCTTAACATCCCTCCTGCTAGACCCACAATTTTATTTTACATCTGCTACCTAACACTAGATGTGTTATTTACAAAGCTTAGTGAAAAGCTGCAGGACTTTTTAACTGCCTCTCTTCTGTCTCTCCTCTTTGGTACCTGCTCAAAACCACTGTCTTTGTGCAGCCTTTGGCTTGCATGGAGCCTCGAAGAGCACTGTAGAGCACTCATCATTTCTCATGCTAAATCCCTCTACAGCAGCTTCAAAAGAACAAGTAAACAAACAAATAAAAGCCTTGGCTACTCCACTTAACCTGTACTAGCACCTATGACCCGAAGCAGCTGCCTTCCAGCTCCCCTCGCCCCTTTTTTCCCCGCCTTTTACCTGTGATGAAGGATGTTCTTGAACAAATGCTCAGAAGGATCAGTGATGGTTCACCGAGAGCTGCTGCAAAACTAAGGTCAGGAAAATACTTCATGGAATTTCTTCCAACATTACAGGCTTGCACAGAATGGTCATTTCCAAAAGTAATCAGTGTCAAGTGAGAAGCCTTTGAAATATTTTTCAAAACATAACTCAAACACATTTACAAAGTAAAACCCTTCCCCAAAGCAAAATATAACTTGCATAGAAGTAAATTCTCATCTGAAATTCATTTAATAGCTTAATTTATTAAACACATTGTGTAAAATCTACATTGTTATTTCAGTTTTCATGTTTACACACAAGAGAATTTTTTTTTTTTCCACCATGATGCGACAAAAGCTTCCCATAGCTACCTTCCTATGGGAGATACAAACATTAAACACTACAAGAATTCCTGGCTCATTTAACTCTCTTTTTCATTGCCTTCCCTTTATTTCCCTCCGGCCCTGGCACAAACAGGCTTGTATTCCAAAAGCAATTTTTAAGCAGTTCCAAGGAAAGTCTGCTGATATGAACTCCTGGAAACAGGGAGAACTCCTAGAGAGGTCTACAATTCTTCATTTGACAAGAAGTTCTTACAGGAAAGGTCAATCTTTTTTGTTGGATATTGACTTGCAAAAATAACTTGAGTGCCACCACCTGAAAAGTGACGATACTTGGCGCCATTTGTGAGAATTCAGGTACTTGTGGGATTTCTATTAGCACTAGGTAGAGGTATTGTGCAAATCCTCAAATGATGCAATTTCACCCCACTTTTCAGCTGCTGGCACTGCACAAAGGGAAAAATAGGTATTAGCTACTTTCTTTAAAGCAACAGAACTACTCAGCTACCTGCAAACTACAGTTAATGTACATGTAAGTTTGTCATGCATCAAAAGCCAAATTTTAACAGTATGTAAGAGGGTACAATGTACTTCTTTAGCTGGATCCCTGATCTTTGACAGTTATCCTACTCATACATAGAGGTCAGACTGCACCTTTATTCTGACAGCATTATCACACCATACCACATATTGTATATCTGCATTATCCTAAGATACAACTCTCCTCAGTACTTAAACATTACCCTTTATTATACATCAACTAATTTATATTTGTGTTTTTGTTTTTTTTTGTTTTGTTTTTACAGAGAAAATGTTAGAATTATATAGCCACTCTTTATGATATTCAAATAAATCTAGATTCCAGATTTTTTTACAAGGAGGATGAAATGGGAGCTGTTTGTCCACTCCAACAGCTCCTGCGGTTCCTGTTCAAATGATATGGCACATCCCGTGAAATGAACTAGCCACAAAAAAAAAAAAAAAAAAATAGTCTCAAAACACATTAAAAATGTACACACACTAAAAGTAATTTACATTGACAAATAAGGAATGTTGTTTATTAAGGCTGTGCTTCGTAATGAGGATGTTTAGGGTTAAGTAGCCTTCATCAAGGCACAGAATGGGAAGAGGTGAGCACAGCTGGCTGCAGAAGAGAAGTTATGTACAACCACTAGTGAGGTGTGCATGCACGCAAACACAATTTAAAACTGCACAGCTGGTCTTCGTAACAAAACTGAACATAGTTAAAAGGAAATACTGCAGCATTTTGAACAGCCACAGTTTTACTTCATTATTAAAAACATGGCAAATATTTCCAAAACATAAAATTCACAATTTGAATAAATGAAATATTTTAAACAAAGTGCTTCACAGATCTGAACCCTGCATGGTTGTACTGTCTGGTCTAGAAGCATTTTGTAGACATCATAGGAGCATTTCACACAAAACTGAAAATGTCACTCAGGTGAATAAGAAACAGGACATTTCCACAGACATTTCTAAAGTTTTTCACTTTCAAGTAGTTGAGTTCTTACGGCCACTGGGTTTTGTAACAAATGTGTGCTACAGCAGTACGGGTTCGTGGATTCCTTTAGCAGCAAAGGCCCGTTTCAAAGGGCACGTGGTCTTTTCGGATTGATCTGTTTACTGGCCTGTTCCTCTTCTTGTAGAGCTGCCCGGAAAGATTTCACTTTATCTTTAATAGAGAAAAAAAAAAAAAAAAGAGAATGAGTCCTGATGTGCTTGTGCCCATCGCAGATGCTGCCACTGCACGCTGCTGCTCCACATGCCTTCCCTGATGCACAACAAAGAACGTTCACTCCTCCACACACACAAGAAGAAGCTGAGGCTGCAAACCACAAGAGGACTGAGAGAGGCTTAAATTCAACGCTCACCTCCCTAGCAAGTTGCTTAGCAACTCAGGCCCTTCCTAGATGCTGCTCCTGTCTCTAGGCAGGATAGATTAAGAAGCTGCCCGGTTGCATTCCCGACACGTAACCACTTCACACTTACGTTCTGCTTCGAACTCACAGCGTATGCAGCGATTTCCTTCTTCCCAGCAGCATCCCAACCACCCTTAAAGGCTTCCAAAGTGATACTCAGGTCTACAATCAGTCACTCTTGTGCATCTAAACCCCCCCAAATTCGATTCTCCTGCATTTTACCATGAATGCATGGTAGAAAAGCATTCAGGATTACATTTTTGAAAATATTCACCATAAATAGATAAATGTACCATTCTTAACATGAGAACTGGAGAAACCTGAGGAAGGAAATACGGCATCCTTTCCTATTTCTATTCCTCTCCTTTCTATTCCCCCTGTAATAAGCTCAAGAATGTGAAAAGCAGAACCAAAATGAAAGTGTAATCAATCCCAAAATGACAGGCATAGGAGCTGAAATATTCAGTGACCATTATGGGCCGTGAATAGAGCACAAATGTTGTGCTCTATGCAAATAGAAAAGTTATAATTAGATGCAAAAGTTATAATTAGATGCAAATGCAGCATCTAATCATAACTGAAGACCAGGGAGACAAATTGGTGTTCCACCACTGCTGATATCTCACACCAACTTATGGTGAAGGGAAAACCATCACCCAGTTCATAAAGCAGAAGAAAAGCACCTCCACTTCCTTGCTACAGTACACCGTGGCCAACATACACTTACAGGGTAAGCAAGCCACATCTGACTTGCTTTAAGCATTCTTCTAGCCTATTGCAGATAATCAAAATGAATATAATCAAAGATTTTGTCTTCTAAGGCATTTTATAATGTGGTTCTAACAACAACAAAAAAAGCCTTAAGTCCTAAACCCCTTGAATTTCACCACTTATAGTGTGTGTCATCCAAGGAGACCCAGAACATAAAATCAAAATGCAAGACTCCCTATATCCCCATTCATCAGGTACCGAGCTGACAAGATGATATTAAAAGATATGCTGAAGAATCTCAAATTTGGACGCTAAAAAATATCTGATTTCTTTTCAGCTAAGAGAGGCTGACAAAAGACAGTCGGGAATACTGATGAGTCAAAAGATACACTAACAACCAAGCTACTCAGGGCTTGACACAGACTGAAATGACAGCAGCCTCCCTGGCACACTGCAGTGCAACACAGAAGGAACTGGGAGTTCCTGCTATCTGGTCCTCATCGTTTTTTTGCTTTCTCACCTCTTTTTTTCCTAC